AGGCGCGAGAAATATCTTATATACTCCCCCTTTTAAATGGCAACTGGGGCTTTTAGGGGATCCAATCGCCAAATCCTAGGTGAGAAGAATCATCATCCAACACCCTTTTAGTTCGGGCACCACTGTAGAGACATTAGGTAATTTTTGTTTTTGGAAGCAGGCAAGATGAAAACTATGCAACGCCTTCACGGAGAATTCAACCACGGACCTCTCAATTACATGCTGAGCGTGCAGACCACCACACCACTAAGGCATGCCAAGAAGGCGCGAGAAATACCTTATATACTCTCCCTTTTAAATGGTGACTGAGGCATTTAGGGTACTACCCAATCGCCAAATCCTAGGGGAGAAGAATCATCATCCAACACCCTTTTAGTTCGGGCACCAAAATGACAGAGAAGTTAAACTAACTTTTCCGTTAACTCTTTAATTCTTTAATTTTGTTTTGTATAAGTAAGCATAAGTGACTTATGCTTACAAAACAAAACTCCTCAATTTTTATTATTATTTAAAATAAGATAAGATGAAATTTAAACTCAAGAATTATAGTCGGAGACTACATAAAATGTTTACGTAAGCTAACTCAAACAAATAACATCTTGCTTTTGATGAGCACTAGCAAAATGGCTGATGCTGGAATAATCTCTGGCAGAGCTAGAGATAGGACGTAAACTGCTAGCGAGGCTGCCAAAACCTCTAATACTAAAATATTCCAAACCCTCGCTTTAAATACTTAGACAACTAATTCACATTTTGATGAGATCTAATAGGGAAAAAAACTTACAGTAAAGGTGTAAATCATAATAATTGTTTAATTAATATAAAATTCTTACATTTTTCCCACCTGAATTTAAACTAATCGAAAACGAAGGTCTTAGTGACTTTGGAGAAGATTTTAAAATTCTGAAGTCTAATGCATGAGCAAGCTCTTACAAAATCTCATTTAAGTTAAAATAACTACTGACATCTAAATTTACCCTTCGCCTTCATTTAAATTGTCTTTAAATTTACACTTTCAGATCCATTGCAGACTTTGTCTCACATCTTCTTCCAGAAATCTGAAAGGAAAAATTGTATAGCAGAGAATACTTAAGTACTATACATAATATGCACATACAAGAATAATATTTTGAACAATTCACATTTCCCTCTTAAGCTCTTTTTCATCTCGCTGTCCAACTTTATATTGGGTCAAGCAAAGAGTAAAATTGAAGTGTTGCAGCAACCCTACCTGCTACCCGAATTCCTACATGGTTAAAATAATTAGACACACGGATCTCTGAAACACCCTATTTCAAAATCTTTAACTAATATTCTAAACAAAATTTCATTTAACTTTAAAAATGCTGAGGGGAGAACCTAACTTTTAAATAAAAGCTCATTTAAAAATGCTAGTTTTCAGTTTTCATTTAGAATACACATTATCAATAATGCATTTTCCTTTTACAGTACATTACTTCTTAACACATATTATTCATACATTCACGATATTAAATTTCATTCACTGTACTTTCAATAGATTACCATTATTTAGTTTTAATTTTACATAAAAAACTCATAAACGCGTTTTTGTAATTTTGACTTGAATTCGTGCCAAAATTTCTGCTATTTACTGTTTTTTTGGACTAAAGTTACATAATCATGTTTAACATAGAAATAGAAAAATAGATGAACGCATCAGCGGAAAAGCCCACAAGGATTAATGGGAGATTTTATAAGCGAACTTTAAGAAACAACTCTGCAAATTTCGCAGAAATCTTGGAGTAGACATACCAGGGATAAATAGAAGGGCTAGGTCATTCCTTTGCTCGACTCCTCGCCGACGCAAGCCTCATGGGGGGAGGGGTTAACTGGAAGTAATCTGACGTATCTCTTTTGCATCTGCTCTGATTTCGCTCGTTTAAAACTGTAGTTTCATTCAGTTGCGAGACGATTTTCTGGAGGTCGCATATCCCAAATTAATTTTTATCATACATAACTGTTTTCTAATAATGCAAATATTTAAAATAATCTGTGTATATATATTTAGTCAGTTTTCCTTTTTAGATTTAAAGTATTCATTATGTAATATGGCTTCTTGTGCTGTAGCAACGTGCCGTAACACTGATAGAAATACGAAAGGAAGAGATATTGTATTTCATGCTTTCCCAAAGAACAATTTGCTTTTGACGAAAGAATGGATACATAAATGTCGAAGACAGGATTCTATTAATGTGAAAAAACGCAAGAATTTGCAGCGAACATTTTCTGTGCAGTGATTATGAAGATGACATGAGAAATCGCTTGCTTGGAGCACCGCAAAAGAAACTGTTGGAATGCAGTACTGTGCCGAAATAAATTTATCGTGTGCTGTAACGAAATAACACCAAGAATCGGACATTTGAAAAAAAACTAATGCAGAGTGCTTTTGAAAGACTACACGAATTAAGCCCAAAGAAAATTTATTTCGAGGCCGAGAACGAAATTGAAGCTGACAATAATAAATCAAATGTGAATGTTTTTCAAATAAAACTCACAAGTGACAATATAAGAAAAATTTTAGGATGTTTGCTAAGAGACAAAGAATGTAGATGATATCTAGAAAGAAATTCGTATCGGAAATTAAAATCCTAAACAGCGAAATTTAGGAAAAAACAGCACAGGTCGGAGAATTTGGAAAAACGTCTAAACCATATTTTTACAAAGACTCACGCATTGATAGAAAAGAAGGAAAAACGCATTGATAGAAAAGAAGGAAAAAATCATGAGGACTACTGAAGATTAAGATAACAATCTTACATGTATTTATTTAAATGTGATATTGATGTAAGCCTAAGTTACAAAATTTTTAAAAAAAATATATGTTATTATATTGAATCGGGAGAAAAATATGCCAATGTAAAATTTACAATTAGGCTTAAACTCAAACTTAGATTAGCAGAAATTTTGCCATATATAATCATACATGTTAAAACTATGCCAATTTAAGGTTGTTTTTGATTAATTTTAAATAGCTGTTATTATAGTTATCTTAGAAGCAATAGTAGAGTTCTCTTAGTTAACATGAAGATAAAGAAATGATTAGAAATAAAGAGGCATTTAAATCCCTGCAAATTAAAAAAAGAAACTTTATGCTAAGAGTAGCGCATTTTATATGTTATTTTAAAATTGAGTAAGTACTATTAAATTTTTTAATGTTCAATGTAAAATGCATACTGCAGTAACATTGTCTCCTCTAAATTTTAGCTGTCTTTCACACACAGCTCATTTTAAACGCTGATTCTTCTAATTTAAAACGCTAATTTCTATGTTATTAATTGCATCTCCGCGCTCAGTGTCATCATGGCTACGTCATCACTCCCGACTGCCTGTTTCAGGGGGAAAAGTTCTATGAGCTAGCCCTTCTCTTTTAAGTCCTGACGACATACTAGAAGAAGATAGATTTTTTTTAGGTCTTACCCTGCTCAAAATAATCAGGATTGCACTAAATAATCAGGATGACTAATGAGAAAGCAGAATTCCATAATGCTTTTACTACTCAGTTTGATATTGTGTCTTTGCAAATGTGTGAATTCTGGGAGAATACCAGCATCGACACCGATCATCTGACCTAACCAGTCTTAAATTTTTAGAAGTAAAGCACTTTAATCTGTGCTCTTCCAGTCATGTACTTATCGCGTTTGGAGAATATTCTTTACGGTTGCATTACAAGTCAGGCCCTAATGGGACTCTTTCAATAACTAGCAAGAGTAGTGATCACTAAAACCTGCTATATGGCCAGTACACCGACCAAACATCAAAAGCAGAAAATCTTCTTTGCTGTACTCAGATATCTTCGCTTGAGGTAAAAAAAAAAAGTATACTTACAAGTTTATGCGCATATTTTCACATGTATAAACTTCTACTTGAAGAAATAAGGAAAATTTTCATTTACATTTTCTTTTTTGGGCAAGTCAGCTATTCGTTTTCCCACAAATTTGCTCCTTGTGGGACAGGTCACGATTCTATTCTCTAGAATTCGTCTACGGAGCTGGTTGTGGCTTTTTCCGTTTTTCTATTCAGATTGATAACTGACTCAATTCTTCGTTGATTTCCTTTGTCCTTTGACCTATTCTTGTGGCGCGTGTCTCTTTTTTGAAAGGTTTCCTCTAGGTTTGTGGTCTGCCTTTCATCTTCGTTTTTCGATCGATGATTCTTATAAGTTTCCTCTCCAGTGGTTCCTCATCAGGCGGCCTTATGTAACGTATGTTTCTCTCTTAACTGAACGGTCATTTCCATGTAAATGCAAGCTTCCTGTTGATTTCCGCCGGGACCTATTTCTTTTCGCTACCTTTGTTTGTTACCCATGCGGTCGCGATACATCTCAGAGCTATTCGACCTTTGCTTTGAATCTCTGGAATGTTCCCAATTTTTTGTCTTCTTTCTTGACCCCACTCTCGTCTACAGCTTTACATTTTGATGGGAAATTCATCCAACCCTGGACTTTTCTCTTTTATCCCCTTCCCAGAATCCTTTCCTTTCTCTGTGGGCTTTCCTGTTGCTTATACTCCGTAAAATGACCTTTCCGAAGTATCTGCACAGCCCATACTATGGGAACCATCTAATCTTATGATTCACCCCATTTAAAATATATCTTCACCCTGTCGACATTCGCTTTTACATATTCGCCATTCTTTCCTCTTAAATATTACACTGTTCTTCTGATTCACTCGACTCAAAAAAGGGCCTTTGAATTTAATACCGAATTTTCCCATTTTTCCATCTGGGGCTCAAGACAAGGAATGCTTAATTTCAAAAATCTTCTTCTCATCTAAAAGTCGACCTCACTACTTTTCTTATTGCAGTAAAATTTTGCTTTTCTCAAACCAAGTTAATGGATAGTTTCTTTCGCTTCCTGTAAAGAATTTGAATTACTCACCTTCTTAACTTTTACTTCACAGTGGCTGTGATTTTAGAGTGCATCGTTAATTTCCGTGTCCTATTCTATCGGAGTAAAATGTAAATTTTTTTCTCTCTTTCAGCATGGAAGTAATATAGCTGCTATTCAGTGTGCTCTACAGATGTACGATATGAAACATGCGCCTCATGCAGCGACCATAGTAGCTGAACTGTATAGAGAAAAGGAGTGGAGATGGTTCCATTCGATTTCTTTTCTTCAATTCCTCTCATCCCGAAACTGTTATCGAAAATCCATACATATTCCTGCTGCAAGGCTGTAGCGAATTCTGTCCTCTGTGGTTCTATGAAGATTTAATCCAAGATATAGTTCCTAAAGATTGGAAAAAGGAATGTATGAGTGAGTGGCAAGGGATTTCAAAAGAAATCATACCACCTCAGTTCGGTGTAAGTTAAGTCTTTTTCTCATAATTTTAAATCTCATTTCATATACTAAGAAGTTTATTTTCTCATTTTCATCTACGGCAGCGATTTTCAAAATAAAATTGCTTATAGTATTTGGTATGCTAAGGTAAAAGCTATTCATCGTAATTCGATTTGATATTTGTGTCAAGTATTAAAAACAGTGTACTTTCCATTAAATCAAGGGCAGATGGCGCTGGTCTGATCGGCGCTTCCAGTTTGCAGGAAGATACTGGTACGTTTTTGCATATTGAGAGCATGAGTATTCGGCACCCTTATGAAGATCAATTTACAACACGAAAAATAAAATCTTCATCTAGATGCCGGTACGCCCATGTGAAGATCTTTACCTAACTGATTATCCTCGGGATTGCAGTTTATACCAAGATGCCGGCGCACAAATGCAAAGATCTTTATCTAAGTGAACAGTCGCCGACTTGCCGGCATCGTTATGAAATCATCAGTTTGGCAGTACATTAAATTTCTACGCTTTTATGATACAGATTGATGGATTAGAAAGAAGTATATAGTAGAGATTAGCAAATATGAATATGAGACTACATAATGAAGACAATAAGTTTAATACATTTACTATTAATTTACCACTGATTTTTAACCCAAATGGGTGTTTGCCCAGAAGGCCAAATTTTCAAAATGGCATTTTGTGTCCATTCACTTTAAAAATCCGAATCACATCTCAAGTTGTTGCCACTAAGTATTATCGCCCTGTATTATATTTAAAGAAATAAAATAATGAAGAATCTGCATGAATGTATGCATGTATGTTTCTCGTATTGTCAAAAATAACAGCAATTAGAGTTATCAAATCTTGAATAATATAGTCCTCCACCCGAACATGGGCACTTGGAAACCAGAATTCGGAATTGCGAATTTGTTTTATTGTCTATTTCATGTTATATAAACCTTTAACGAATTTTCGATTAAAAACTCAACAATTTCAAAACGAGCAGTGGCAACACTGTAGGGAATAAAACATTTTAATCTCCAGCGCGGGAGATTGTCTATCAGAAATTCTAAATATATACTCTTTTTCAATAGTTTTAGCCCAATATGGCGCTATTCCAAATGCTCCTGAAATGTGTATGTGTCTGTAAATGAAAAGAAAGGCTCATTTGGGCGTAATACAAAATCTGAAAACTTTCAATTTATTTATTTATTTATTTTTGGTGTGGAAGTGGGAGTAAATTTTATTCTTCCAACAAGTTTAAATATTATTATTTTTTAGTTGTTGCATAAATCCTACAATTATGATTTATGTTTCACCAGTTTTTAAACAATCGATATCAGTTGATCTTGTTCCATCCACCCCTAGTTTAAATGGTCAACACCAAGTCAAATAGCTAAGGCACCGGTTTTGCGTAATTCACTCCATTTCATTCTCGAAATGGATTGATCGCAGTGAATTTCCAAAATTTTCCCCATGTGCTTTGTAAATGCGAGTTTTCCATGAAGCATGCCTGCTAAGGCAGACAATCAAAGTGCTTTATAAGAGTAAATAATATAATGTGTTTCGTCAACATTTTCACACAGATATCAAGTATCAGCATCACAGGCATCATCATTCGCCTTCTTTTTGTACACGAGGATATTTACATCAGAATCAAAAGAAATTTGTGCATTTAATTTAAACAAAAGCTTTTGTAAAAGTAATATCTCTAATAATAAAAAACAGTATAGCAAATTAGAAATCGCAGGGTATAAAGAGCTAAATGATATACCAACAGCTGTCTAATTAGTCAAAAAATACATATTTTGATGAAATATTTCTTTTGGTTTTGACATTCAGATAACTAATCATTGTAATGAATCGCGGCTGTTCGGCTTGGTTCTGAATATAGAATTTGGAGCCAAACTTTTTTATGGCTGTGTATTAAAGCGCTCAAGCTTGATTAAATTAGATGTTGCTTAACCACAGCATTTCATATCAAGGTTTTTAATTTATTAGGAAACTCCTTCTTCAAAACCTCTAGGAGGAACTGGATCGCATTTACACTACAACTAAGAAGTCTCCGCCGGAAATAGAAGCCAGGAAAAAATACTAACACACAATGATCTCATCCACTCGGGCACTGATCCTGTCCGAAGGTTTATTTAAAACTACAAGGTGATGCAAAATGAACATCAGTGGCAAATTGTTACTATTTTGCTCCAAGTAATATATCACTTGAAATTTCAGTTGTAATTTACGATTTTAGCTTTAAACACGCCTTTTTTGTGTTATGACTAGCTGAAAATTCGGGGTTTTAAAATTTTTATCTTTCTGACTGAACTTAATTGAACTCTGGTGCCGGACAAACAATAACATGAAAAAATATAATAAAATTCTTTACTAAAATATCTGAAACTCTGAATTTAAGCTGAAGTAAGTACGAGAGGAGGAACTGTTTGATTGCTCTATCCCAATGCTCATTTTTAGTAACCAGTTACTTAGAATAACTTAATGCAATCAATGCAAATAATGCACCCTTAATAAATCTTAACCTGAAATATAAACAGGAATAAATCTTCGCTGGTGCTCGGTAAAATAGAATGCTATCTCACAAACAAAACTATTACTTAAATTCACTTAAACACATATTAAATCTATTCTATATTAACTCAGAGCAACTAAGATCGGTTTCATTAATTCAAAACCTGACAAACAGCAGAGAAAAAATATTCATAATACTATCAAACAGTTCCTCAAAAGAAAAATCAATCAATACCTAAATATCATTTATCATTCAACCAAAAACATATTCAAATGGCTATAATATAGTGGTAGTGCAAAACTTAAGAGTGCGTTGTGATTACCCTATTAAAAGATACTAACAATATCCCAAGAAAAAAATCTCCAAGTTTCTTAAAAGCCTTACGGCTCAAACAAATGAAGTGACATGACAGTCCCAAGTAAGTTAAAACACAAAGAAACAAATGCAACTTAAAATTTTAATCAAACACATTTATTAAATTCTTGAATACTCTAATACATGATAAATGGATAAACTGATCAGTATCCTACCACATTATTCTTACGGGGTAAAATAACGTATATGTCACACCAAAATACAACTCACATTAATTAAAAGTTAACATTTTCTAATTCACAAATTAAGTTGGTGAAACAAACAATCCTTCATTTGCAGACTTAACCGGTAATTTACTCAAAAAATTCTCTAATCACCTCTCAGTTTACATATATAATATAAGTGATTATTACTTCTATGGAATTGGAGAAGATAGAGAGGTAGAAAAAAATAAATGATCACTTACAGATCTTTCCGCAACATACAATCCTTCTACTCACAGGGAAGTCTCTTTCCTTTTCTTGAACCAACACCTTAAAAAGACAGGTAGCTTATGACTCGCGATTTGAAGTGGAAAAAAAACTGAAGACCTTTCTTAGTTCAACTAACTGCCGGAAAGAGGTGAAAACTATTCATCTAACCTCTGCTGCTGGAGATAGTCAACATAGCCTGTAGATAAGTAAGCCTTAAGTAATCCGAATCTCGTCTTGCGTATTTCTCTTGACCTCAGAAGAACCGTTGCCGAAACGCGCACCACAGCCGGATACGCCTCACGGATTTTAAAATGACTCGATTTCAACGCTGCGTTTATACCAGCAGAGAGTTCGAAAAGATTAAAGATGAAATTTGCGGTAATCTGTGCTAAATGCTTTCGGAAGTGTGCTCTTCAAATTCACACTTTATTTTTAATATTCTAGCAGGAAAAGGCTCTTCTACTAGCCAAGACAATGCATTCCTGGCACCCCAAAGGCCAAGCCCCGTAGCCAGGCAAACGCCCCACGAATGTTTTACGAAATTTTACATTACTGCAACTCCACAACTCTCTTCAACCCTCTGGAGCAGACCACCTGCGGCAGGACAAACACTCCACGATCTCTTTTTACAACTTTACATCTTCAAAACTCAAATCTCTCTCTTTAACACACTTATTAGGTGACGAAGTCACTCAACCAGGCTCTAAAGCATCGTTCTACCCCGTGTATAGCAGATGAAATGGAATTTTAGACATTTCTTTTGCTAGCATAATCCGTGATTTGAATGCGAAGCATTCGTGAAGTGATGAAGTAGTAGTTAATGCAATTAAATAGCGCTGAAGTAGTTTTAGGTAGCAATTATATGAATGTTACTGCATTTATTGAAACGAGGCATAACTTACATTGAAGGCAATGTGGTGATAAAATTCAATTCGATTACTTGTCGCAGAGCGCAGTTACCCGGCTGACGTCTGAGGCTGAACTGAAGTAGCTACTAGCTACTAAACTGCTGCTAGGTCCAAGAGATGTGGTCACGTGGTCTAATTTTAAAGCCATTGGAGGAGAGAGTACAGTGCAGTCAAACTATTGACAAAGTTTCCGCGTACGAGTTAACCACGAATTCTCCTCTCTCCGCCCGATCTATGCTGGATGACCTCAGGGCAGTCTTGTCTCACCTCTGCTCTTCAGTATCTATATTAACGACGTGCCTAAAGCACCAAGTATCGATCAGCTTTATATGCAGACGATATGGCCATCCTAACTCAACATACCAACATCACCACGGTAATCTCTACATTACAGAGTTACCTTTCAGCATTAGAACTCTGGCTCAGACTGTATAAAACCAAAATTAATGTCGCTAAATCAAATGCGATGGCACTTTATTCGTCCGAAGAAATATCACCCGTTTGGACAATCTCATTTTCTTCGGTGAACCTATTCCCTGAGTTACTGCTTACAAATACCTTGGTGTCTTACTAGACTCAAAATTAACATGGCAACTTCATATTCAAAAGATCATTGCGAATGCGAAAGCTGGCAAAGCCAACCTGCGCTCCTTTTTCGCTAAAAATAGCGACCTGTCACTTGACAACGAGATCTTACTTTACAAATCTATCATAAAGCCTATTCTCACTTACGCGAGTGCCATCTGGGGCTCAGCTACTCTGACTAACCGTAAACACGTTCAAATTTTTCAATCAAA